GGATCGCCGCTGCAGGCGCGTAATGAATTGGAAGTTGATCGTCCAGCACTATCCTTATCTCAGCGCAGATGTTTTATTTTATTTGGCTTATAATTCCTTACCAAATGTAGTATTTCATCTCGATATGCTCCGTCTTTGATATGATTTAAAACAAGTTCCTCGTCATTATAATTTGCTTTCGATAGCGAAGAAAATAACAGAGGTTATTGAAAACGAAAAAATTTCGATTGACAAATTAGTCGGTGTTCTCAACACAGCAATTATAGGACTTGAACAGCGGAACTTTGTAACTGAACAAGAAATTATGTCTGTTTAATAGAATTAAAGAGAAAGTATTATCACATGAAACGAAGCAAAACTTAAAAAACTTACATTGAAAGAAATGTTTTAATAAAGTAAACAAATAAGTATTAAGGTTTTTCTTTTGCAACTTTGATACCCTTTAGATCATAATTGTTCTTTATTTCATAAATTATGGTTTCATATTTTTAATTTAGAATTTCTGCATGCCATCTTATGAGATTTAAACTGATGATCTATAATCCGGAAAAATCGATAATCCGGAATCGCCGAAGTCCCGACGAGTCCCTATTAACGACTTTTGACTGTATAGCATTATTAAAAGGCTATGTATCAAATGCATCTTATTATTCCTCCTTTTGGTCATTTTGTGAAAAAATACTGTATTCATCTAGAAATTTTACTGCAATTTCTTCCATTGCTGGCAAATTGTACAACTTAATAATTTTAAATTGAGTCTTGGGGGGGGGGAAGGAAAGAAAAGATCATGATTTAAAAGCCCTTGAAACAACACCACCAAAATAAAAAAAAAAAAAAAAAGGAAAAAGCTTAATGACATGCTTGACTGAAAGATGGTTGCCAGAGTTTGGGACATTCTGTTAATTCTGTTAATTTTTGGCAATTTCTAATAAGGTTGTTGCAATACAATGCGCAAGTACTCAAAAATATTCATTACTTTATTATTAATTATTTTTCAGATTCTTTTAATATTGCAGTTGCTGATGTTGAGTTAAAATAAAATGTGAATTTTTTCTGAAGTATTAAATGTTTTAATAATTATTGTAAATTATTTGGAAAGATTACTGAATGAAAATATTAATTTAATCTTTAATATTCTAGTTTTTTACTATGGCTTCTACGGAACTTGATCCTTTGTTCGTAAAAGGGCTGCGGCTACTTCATTCGAAAAGTAGGGAATCAGCTGATCAGCTAAAAATGCTTTTAGATGATGCAATTGCACAATCTAAACAAAGTGCGCATGTAAAAATTTATACATCAGTGAAAATGGTAATTGTTTTATGATGCTCTCTCCACATATTAGAATGCACATTGAGATACTATATAATCTGTCTTGTAATTTAATATAAGTTATTTTATAATTGTTTTGTAGTATTGAAGTTTTTCACAAGTAGTCATTTTAATGCAATAATAAATTTGAAATTTCAGGGTTAAAAAATATTTAACTGGTATTTCTTTCTACATCATGTACTGCTAAATTTTATGTTTGAAAATTCGTCTGTTATGAATTGCGATTTTATACGTCTAAGGATTGACACCTACTCAAAATTTTATGTTCATCTTTTTTTTTTTTTTTTTAAATTATGGAAGTATAATAATTATTTGGAATTGTTCATAAATGTTTATGTCGATGAATTGTGTGAAAGTGGAATTCTAGACAATTGTAGATCAGTATTGTTCTTGCTTGTTAATTGTTGCTGTAAAGAAGATAAAATCCATAACTGGGCATTATCTTTAACAAAATATATTTTACTCAACTTGTAACTTCCATCTACACTTTTCTTTTTAGCAGATTGAGTATTCAATGGACATTTGAAAAATAAGGAAAGATGTAAGAAAAATTATAATGTTCTGAAACTTAAGTGTCTTTTCTACACCTAGTAGAGGATCACTGAAAACAGTGTGGATTTTAAAAAACATGCTATTCAAAACTATTCAGATATTTAACTTTTGAAGGTTACCAAACTTTGAGTAATTGTTTTCCTACTCTATGCAGTATTTCACTGCAGTATTGTTCTTAAATACTATAACCGCTTTCCCTAAGTTAAATGACATTTATTTTCATTGACATCATAGAATGTAAAATAGTAACTCCTTTGAAAGTATTCTTTATGCATTTTTAGCGAAAATGAATTATGAACAAAAACTGTGTTATCCGTTCCTACCATGTTCTGCTTCAGACTGAATTTTTAAGAAATGTTCTACTGTACAAAATCGGAAATCCAGATGTTCAGTATCCTGAATGATCTAAAATCCACACATCTGGACTATCAACAAGTTTGCCCCCCACCTATTTACCCTTGCGCATTTGATACTTTTCCATCATAAAACAATTGGAGAGTACCATTTCTTAATTTCAATTTGACACGAAATAAAATACCTCTATATTAAAAGAGACAATCATTTATTAGCATAAATCTGTATGATCAATAATATAGTTCTGTAGCCAACTTTTTGCTTGGCATATGTCTCAAACGGAAACATCATACATTGAAACATCATTGATTTTTCAGCTGCTGAATAATTTATATTCCTGACTCCAACCTGTGAATCATTATGTTTTGTTTATTACTTTCAACACGTTTTACTGTGTAACTATCAACACGTGCCTGCCTGAAATGTGAATCTCGCACTGAGGTCTAAAACATTTTTTCAAAAATATTAATACTTGAGTACCAAAGAGCATGATAGCCTTTTATGTTGATATTGTTTGTTCCCAATGATTGGACTTCAGCTAATTAATTGCCTTGTGAAGTGTTGAACATGTTGACAAGAAGAAATTTAACAAATTTCTCTCTGTATGCCAAAAAAATTTTTTTTGTAAATGGTACTCTAGGCCAAAAGATTATATTTAGTGCCATTTGAATTGAGAATAACAGATTTGTTATTCAGGTAAGTCCAGGACCAGAGCTGGTGTGGTCGTACCAGGGGGGCAGAGTTTAGGGGAGGCAAATTTTTTGGAATTTAGAGAAGCATTGAACAATAAAATTAAAGGATGACACATTTAAAATGGGCTCTAGGAGGATGCAAAATTTTTAGAATTTAAGGAGGTGCTTTGCAGCAGAATTTAGAACCTGCAGAGATTGCACTGGACCACAAAATGTCTAGTGCTAGCCTGGGATAAGCCTTAATTATATGTGAGAATTTATTTATTCAAGGCTCATATAAGCCTCATGTGCAGGAAATAGGTGTAAATACTGTGTTTCCTTGGAAATGATACTTAAAAAAAAATAATAATAAAAATAAGCCCTTGCATGATTTTTCAGGGTATTCCTAATATAAGCCCCACCAACGAAATAAGTTTTAGTTAACACTGTCAACTAGGCAGGGACCTTATTGCCGTATGACCAAGTGCAGGTGCAATACATATGCACATTTGAAACAAGTAAGACAAATTCAATATTTAGTATGTCACATTAGCAAAAGACATTTAGCACTTGATTTAATAATAAATTTTGATGCTTTGATAAGATGAGTGCAAAAAGAAAGTTGAGTGCAAGAGAGGAATTTTTCAAGGCTCCAGGGATAAAAATATTACAGCTTTCTACAAAGAGAAGTTGGATCTACGAATGGCCCAAAAAAGGGCACTGAGTACAATGGGGTTGTCGAAAGTAACTTCCAAAAAGCATTAAGTGTGGATCCAGGTAGGCAACCATTATTTCCTGAATTAGAACACATCATCTGTGAATGGATTGTGACAGAAGAGTAAAATGTTTGGTTGTTCAGCAAGGCTGATATTCTAACATTTTCCCTTTCAATGGCACCACAGCTACACATAGTGCAAGATGAATTATATTATATTGCATTATATTTGTAATTTCAAAGTGGAATGTTATGTAATTTTAAAATTATTAGGAATGAAAGAAAATAATCGAAATAATCTATTTTACTGACTTTTTCCACTTTTTGAAATAAAATGCTTAAAACTAATTACAGCACAAAGTTCTCCAAATGTCTAGTGTCTGGAATGATCTAATATCCAGGCCACTAGCACCACCCCCTTAAAAAATCCCATTATGAAGTCTAGGAATGGGAGTAAAATAAATTAGTGTGCCATAAATGAAGTTTTTCTCCCAATTAAGATTTCTGCATATAACTTTCAAATAACTTCTGACTAGGGAATCAGATCGTGGCCATTGACTGATGATGTATACATGTGGGCCACAATAACGCTTTCATTATTCGAGTGCTTGTGACAAAATGCAAACTTGAGTTTGGAGCAAAAATTTGGTCATGTTTTTGAAATTTTGGTAAGTTGCAAAGTAGCATTTTTATTTATTTATGTATTTTAACTGCTTATGTATACAAATCTAGCTACTCTGAAGTGATGTTTTTGTGATTCACCTTTGCATCTGCTCATTTTAGAACTGTAAACAGCAACTAAATAGTTATATTCATTTAAAGACTAAGAATAAAGCAAGATTCAGAAGCAAAATTTGGAACTAAAACTCAAACAAATGAGATTGCATGAATTTTACTTAGTATTCTGCTTCCAATTTAGAAAATAGCTTTGATTGATGCATTATAAATAATAAATTTGAAGAAAACTATTGATCTCTTTAAGGCCATTGATGATGAATTGAAAGAGTTGATTTAAAAATATAATATTTTGTTTATCTAGAGTCTTTTTTGAAATATTAGCAAAACTCCCTTAGCTGAAAAATGTTAACAATATTTTGTGGCCATGATTTGTACTGTAACTTATAAAAATTTTATGTCTCCCTTCCTCTGCAAAGAAATATCCAGACTGTTGATGCATTAAATATGGAATAATATCGGAATATTCAATTAGAAGCAAGTTTATTAATATACAAGTAGAAGCAATAAAAAGGCAAAACTAAAAGGCATGAAGAAATTAAATTTGATAGAAATATTGCAGCAAGTTGCAAATTATCCCTAATATTTTAAAGAATGCTTTAAGTGATTTTTCGTCATTCTTAATTACAATGTGTTCAGCGAGCAGATGAATCAGTATGTATTGAGATTATCTAGCAAGTATGGGAATAACTTGAATTTGTTCAATATTTTCATAAACTGCACTAAAAATTTTTATGATCAAATTTATTAACATTCAGAGAGTTTATTTGCTATATGAAACTGGTTTTTCTCATAACTGAGGCAATTAAAAAAATATATTATTGGCTTTTCTTGAAAGTCTGTTAAATTTTCATATTCTCCCTTATTAAAATCATTTTGGGTAATAGCATACAAAAGAGAGCTTATTAATAATATTATTAAAAGTATTATCCAACAGCTTATTAAAATATTACTGATTAATTTGCTGTTTCATAGATGAAAGTATCATTATAAATGTTTAACATATCTGAGTGTTCTAACAATAAATAATTCAGTATATAGCTCAATATTTATGCTTTTTTACAGAAATAAGAAAGCCATAAATAATAATTTTTATTGGAGGAAAATACTTCCTGCAAAAAAAATTTAGAAGCCTCTTATTAGCTTTGTTCTTTCCTAAATTCTAAAAATTCTGCACCTTAATTCTGCCACTTGAGCATGAGCTTTTGCGGCAGCCATGACCTCTGCACAAATTTAAAAAGAAAAGGTTATTTGTTCAGCCGATTCATTTGGATTCCTGTTCACAAAGCAGAAGGCATGCCTTGTAAAAGCTTCTATATAAGTAATGTTTAAAAGTGGTTTGTAGTATGTTAACCTAGATTATTTTAATTTTGATTTAACTTGATTTTAATTGGATGTGCCTTTTGATTGATTCTTCAGCATATAGAGTCTTGTAATATAAAGGAGAATTGAACTATCTTTGAGGACTTATAAATGTTATTAATCTTTACTTTGATTGTAAAGATTTATACCATAAGTATCAACAATATTTAGTTCTTAATTATGACATGCTGATTTTTCTTAAATATTCTAATAGGATAAAATATTTTGGAATTGTGCTTTAATCTGGATAATTATTAGTTTTTGTATATGAAAATTTTAAGTCAGAATTTTCTTTTTAGTCCTATTTTGCTGCACTCGATAATTTTTTTTTTCTTAATGCATATATTAATAGATTAAAAAATACGAGTGGCAGAATATGATTTATTATATATTCAGATTTTTTGTTTTTGATAAATTGCTCAGTTTTCTGTGTGTCAAAACTGTATTTTGAACATGCATTTGATTTCAGAAAAAGATTTGGATGGACATCGCTACTTATGATGTGTACCATTGAATTTAACTGTTTTACATTCAGGTAGAGAAGAGATATTTACCATGGTCCATATATTTAATGATGTTTATTATATGTTTATATAATATATTAATATATGTTTTATAATTTAATTTTCATTCATAATTTTCAGAAATTTATGGTAATGCATGTAAGTATTATGGTAGTACTTTCTAATTTACTGTTTTCAAAGTTTAAAATTTGACCAACTTTGGAGGTAATTTTGCTAAATATGTAGTAAAAATCTAAACATTACTCAAATAGAAAGAAAACAATAGACTTATAAGGTCATATTAAGTTGTTTTTTTTTTTTTTTCTTACTTCTGACACTAGTTGTTGCGTTATTTCCTTCCTTCACATTCGTACGGGGTTCATGTAGATTTAGAGTGAATAACGACGACACTTTATGAAGTATCGAAACACGCTTTATTTGGACAATATGCAATTAGACAGCTCCAAAACATGTTTTACAGTCTTCGATGAACTACTATAAACACGCTGACACAATCAGCGACACAGCCTTCAGGTTATCGAGCTATCACAGTGGAGACAGCTTCCTGCAAAGCACCCGACTCTGCTTGGTTGTTCTCGGAACTCCACGTGCTCTCGAGACTCACCACGAAACAACTTGCGATGCACTCCTGACTCTCGGTTCAGCTGTTTCCGGAGCTCAACTCGCTCTCTCTGCGATGCACTAACAGCGATACTCTACGAGACTCTTTCGGGGCACTCAACACTCGCTGGCTGGCTGTCAACACGATCGCCTCCGCAGGGTTTGACTCGCTAGATGAGACACACTCACTCGATGAGAGACGCACACTAACTGACTGCGGACCAGCAGGTTTATATAGCTTTTGGCTCGTGTTCGGGAACATTCTGGGGTAAACCGGTAAGAATTCATTCCAGAAGGTTCTCCAACTGTCCATGGTATGTTGCCACATGGGTGATTTTTCGCCAAATGTGGCAACACTAAAACTGCTTTGCGGGGAAGCCATCTCACCGCGCCTGTACATTTCGTAACAATATGTTTCCACAGATTTGTGTATGAATACATAGAAATTTAGGGATAGATGTTCAGGACGACCATGAGCTATAATTCATTCAAATTCTAAAAATACAATAGAACCTGGATCAGAAGTTTTTGCATAAATTTAAAATAAACTCAGATTTTTAAACTTTGGAAATAATTCATAAATTTACTTATATATATTCATTTGTACACTAATTTTTTTTTTTCAGCAATTTTGCAACGTAAAAAGTCTGATCCTATGCTGCTGAGCATGTGCAATTTTTATGAAATTTTACTAAACTAGTATTTTCATTAGCATATAAAAATTATTTCTTAGATATTTGTCATTACCCATCATCATCACCATCTTGTTTTCCTGCAGGAAATTCGTTTTGTGGCAGCCATATTTTCTATTCCATATTTTTTTCACTAAAAAAGTTTATTTTATTTTTTATTAATACTTATTCTTACTCCAAAGAAGGATGGGGATGAATTCTTTTATGTTTTAATGTCCACTTCAGACCTATTAAAACAAAGTGAAGTATAACAATCTGTTTGGTGCAATTTTAAATAATATTGGCAGACAATATCTGCTGGAAATCAGGAAGGGGAATAATCAATTTTCTGATGTTGAAAATACAGGGTGTAGCACTTAAAATTGGGTCTCTTCATGACACACAATGTTTTGAATATAAATTCAACAATGGCAACACACTCGGGTATCGAATATGGTATTATCACACACTCGCTTGGCTTTGCACAACGAAGCCTAATTCTCAACTGGTCTAAATGGTTTTTACTGGCTGCAGCTGCCTTACACGTGCTGTGTTTTTCATGTCTCGAAAGCATGACTTGGAGTATATATTAGATTTATATATAGCTTTTCTTTTCTAACATAGGTATTTTGACACAAAAATCTGTCCTTTCCTGAAATAAAATACCAATTGTTTCCATATTCCGATTCTACAACTCAAATTATGCCTAGATATTAAATTTTGTAAGATTTGGTGTGAAATTTATGGAGAAATTCATAAATTTATCTTGGCACAATTTTTTTCAGTTTGCGCCAAGAATAGTTCACTCGGTGAACTTCCTAATATGTGGCAGCCAATTTTCCTTTACCTTCCATTATGACGGAGTGGGAAAAAAAAGTCACATCATTTCTACTTCCAAATTTTAGCAAAGTGTCTAAACCAGATTTGATGTTTCATCGCTTTCAACAAATATGCCAAATTTCAAAACGTGCCATATAAATTCACGTATGTCTTTGAAAATTTTGAATAAAAAACTAATTTTTTGCAGGTATGGTTAGAAATACGTCTACTTTAAGATGATGGTAAAAATCTTATAGATTATAATTCAAAAATTTTGTAAAATTTTTAAAAATTATTTAAAAATACAAATTTTAAGAATAAACCATAAAAATTGGCGATTTTTTATTGGAATTAACCTAAATTTTGAAACATCAAATGAGTAATCAAATAAGTTTAATAAAAAAGAGAGTTTAATAAATATATACCAAACTCAATTAAAATTGAAGAGCTAATTTTTTTGAAAACCACTCGTGTTATTTTTACAAAACTTGGTAGTTTGGGACAGTAAAATTGAGTTGTAGAATCGTAATATGGAAAAAAAATTGGTATATTATTTTAGAAAAAGTCAGATTTTTGTATCAAAATACCTATGTTGGGACAGTGCTATGTGTAAATCTACATATCCTAAGTCGCGCCTTGAAAAAACGCAAGTTGAATTTCGTCAATCGGCCCAGTAGAACGGGAGATATAAAACTGTCCCCCTTTTATTTTAATGTGCAGTGTACAATTTTTTTTTAACAAGCCCTTAGCATTTTTTGTTATATGGGGGTCAAAACCTTTTGTTTTTTAGTTTTTCTCATGTATATAAACTTTTGCTAAATATAAATATATAACTATTTTAATTGAGAAGGATGCGTACAACGTTAGCTTTTTCAGTTCTATGAAGTTGATGTTTCACATTTAAGTGTCAAAATGTGAATACTTGACTGAAAATTTAAAAAAAAAAAAAAAAAAAAACAAAAAGAGTACAGTTTAATCAATCTGCTCATGTAGAGAATATATTTCTGTACCAAAAGATGCCAATACATTGTTAGTGGTGTATCTGCAAGTGGCCGTTACTCAGGTATCCAGAAATTTAAAGTTTTATTTCATTTGAAAATGTAAAATAGTGTTTCAGTGTACTCACTTGTTATTTGAACATCAATCTACTGATATTTTCTGTCATGCAGTTAGGCTTTACTCTCATTACTAGAAGAAGTTTTGAACCAATAATTATAAAGATTAACCTATGGTTGTGAAAATAAAGGCCACATAGGGATTTTTATTGACACTGTGTGTATTCAGCCCTTTACAGTAAGGTCGTGCCATTGGTGGCTTCTGCAGTGAAGGTATGCAGGTGTTTCATACCATATCAGTTTATTCATTTGAAGTTAATGAAATTTCCTCACTGAGAATTCTTGCCAATACAACCTATATAGTTATATGTTGGTAACATGAGTTATCTCATAAAATCAGTCATTCATGTTTGTGTACTCTAAACCTGCATTTATCTGCTTACTATTGTTATACATCTCAGAAAATTGGTGAAATTGCAGTATATGTGTTGTGTTGATGAAGTTTATCTGCGCTCACTTTATTTTAGCACACCCAAAATATGGACAACTTAATTTATTTTAGATCATTTCAAAACTGTGTATCTTGAACTATTGATGAATTGTAATTGTCTACCTGTCTGTCCTCTTGATTTTAGTAAATTTTCCTTCTTAATATACTTTAAAAAAATTCTAACACTGTGTTTTCTGAAAAACTTCTTAAAAGTGTTATAGTGTCTGCCTTTTTTTAATACCTAAAATAAACAAATTAATAAAAATGAAAAAATTATTTTAATATTAAACTAATTTAATAATATTTTTGAATGCTTTTTGAATAAGGATGAGATATTGTTTTGAATCAAATGTTTTATGCTGTATTTTAAATTCTTTCTAAGTATTTGGCTTTTTTTGGCAGGAAGGAGAAAGCAAACTTCACCTAAAAAAGACCTTAAGAGAGGTACCAGAAATTTCAAACTTTTCTTCAAAGCATTCTATAGAAGAAAACAGAGAAAGAAAAGCAGAAAAGCGACAACTTGAAAAAGTACTTATATAACCTTTCCCCCCCCTCTTTTATGGTATAGAATTCTAAATATTGTTTTATTATTAGTATATATAACCCCCTCCCAATATAAATATCTGAAGATGGTATCAAATCAGAGAAAATTTTCCTCAGCACTGTATTCAGCATTACATTTAAATAATATAGAATTCTAGGTATTGTCTTATTATCAGTATGTACGAGGTGTGGCGATTAAATAATGGGACTGTGCATGCCCTAGGCTTACTGAGCGGGAATAAGGATGGAATTGTAGTTCACCTTGATGCCTCCAGTACTAGTGGGACCATATTTCAATTTTCTATCTTGTTTAGTTGTTTGTTAATCTTTGCTTAAGTTGAATATTAATTTCATGATAAGCTTAAAAATCAACCAATGCATTAATCTCTTATTCCTCATTAAGTTAAGAAAAAAAAAAACCTCCAACTAAATCCTTTCAATTGTTAAAGGAAGAGTTTGGCGATAATTGCATGTCGCGCACAAGACAAATTTTTGCATGAGGATTTGCAAGTGACAAAAGTTTGCACAAAATGGTACCAAAAAGCCTCATACAGGAGAACAGAAAAAAAAAAAATATCTGCTGTGACTTCACAGCAGAGCCTGAACTCTTAGAAAAATTCACTACATGTGATGAAACGTGGGTTTTCCAATACAACCCTTTACCAAACTAGCAGTCCATGCACTAAACGACTCATATCTTCAACAAGCAGCAAAAAGCTCAAATAAACAGGTCAAAAATAAAAGCTATACTTATCATTTTTTTTTCGATATTAAGGATGTCATCATGATTGAGTGAGTAACTGAGAGCTAAGTATTAAACCAGAGTTACTAAATTGAGGTCTTGATTAATTTGAGAGAAGAGAAAAAAGACCAGATCAGTGGAAAACAGCTCGTGGGTGCTGCAGGAGAACAACATGCTAGCGCATGGTCAACTCTTTGTAAGCTAGTTTTTGGCGGACAAGAAAATTACTGTTGAACATCTGCTATAGTCTCGGATCTCATTTCATACAATTCTTCCTCATCCTGAAATTGGAAAATCCATTACATTTAGCATGGGAATACATTTTTAGCCTGAAAAGGTCAAAGCAAAAATGGCAAACTTGCTTCAAATAAAAAAATAAAAAAATAAAAAAAAAATGCGTATGCAGTAGTTTATAGATGGGCAAGGAGATTAACAGCTGTTTGTTATAAGTTTGCAAAAAAATATATTTTTGAGACTATTCCTATTATTTAACTGTCACACTATGTACAAAGCTTCCAATATGAATCTCTAAAGATGCTATCGAATCAAAGAGCAAATATCTTCAATATGTTGTTGAATATAGCAATTTGAGAAATTTTTGTAATTAGGTCTTGTGATCCTTCTCTATCTGAAATACATCATTGAATGTAATTTTTTCCGTACCATTGTAAAATGTTTGGGATAGAAATCTGCTATTCAAACTAGTTCTTAAAAGAATTTGCTTCTTGGAAAAGTTGGCTGTAGCATTTTGCATTCATTGCTGTGATACAGTTGTGGTTGCATTCTTAGGTGTGGTTCATTATTGCCAATTACTTACTACAATAGTGATAGACAGATTATGTGTTTTGTGAGAAGACTTTTCATTAATATAAACCAACCTGCTCTATAGAAATAGTATAGCTATTTGAATATATTTGAGATATTATAGTTCTTATTTAAAATTATTAAATTATTTTTTTATATATTCTTACCTAAATTTAGAGTAAAAATAAGTGATCTGTCTGTACCCTTCTTTCTTAGTCATCATTAACAGTGCCTTCATCCGACTATCATTATTTTGAGAATTGATATTGTGTTTCAGTTATCTTTCAAATGTTCGCATGATATTAAAAATATCAATTTTTATTTTAATAAATATATTTTTTATAAATAATATGTATGACATTAACAACTAGAAAAGAAGAATTTAAAAAAAAAAGTTTGAATTTTAAGTATTACTAGAGGGTGTGTAAACTATCAAAATGTATGTAAAAGGAAAAGGTTTTCTAGAAGGAAAAGGTTTCTAGAAGAATTGCACAATTTTTAAACATCTCTATGATAACAGCTCGTAGAACTTTGTTTTGGACAGAATATATCTGCAGTTTGTAAACTTGATTGTACATATTCAATTTTAATAATATTTTCTTTAACAGTCTTGCGAGTGAACTTTAATTTTATATCTATATGTTTCAAACTACCTGAAAAGTTTTCATTAACAATACTTTTAATACATGACTGATTATCTTCAAAAATATAAACATGTTTAACTCTGGAAATTCCATTTACTACATTTTTATCCATAAAACATCTTGAATACCTTTGCATAAAGTGCATAAAGCAATTATTTCAGCTTCTGTTGACTTGACGAAAGTGCAATACACTTTTGCTTGTTACAGCACCAAATAATAAGACAATTTGAAAGCATTATAAAGTTACCAGTAATTGATTTCCTATCTTGAGTATCTCCCCCACCCAATCTGCATCTACATACAAACATAAGTTGCCCTTTTCAAATCACCCTTTTTGTATATCAATTTTTAATTTAAGGTGTTTTTCAAGTACTTAAGTACCTAAGAATTTTCTTTAGAGCACACCAGGCAACATCAGTAGGATGCTCCTGCAGTTCGCTTAAGCAATTTACACCAAATAAAATATCTGGCCTTGTAATATATGCTAAGTAAAGTAAAAATCCAATAATTCTTTGTATGGCCATGAAATGAATTTCCTTTTCTGAAAAATCAGTGTTGTAGATTTGGTTCAATGGGAGTTGGGCAGTTTTAACATCGGACATTTTAAATTTGTCAAGTAATTTTTCAATATATGGTTTCTGATCCAAATATAAACAACTGGACTCGAACTTCAGTCTAATGCCTAAAAATTCTGAGACATTTTCAAGTTTTGACATTTGAAATCCTTTAGATAACATTTAAATTACAGTCAAAAGTCGTTAATTCAGACACCCATAATCTGGAATGATCTATAATCCAGACCTCAAAGCTACAAACTTTCTGCGCATGCGTCGCGTTGACGCAGCAGTAAGACATTTACGGCTGCAAATTTGCGCGTGCGCAAAATACGTTTACGAATGTGCGTTTAATGTATAACGGACAGTGTAAGCAAAGCTAAAAATTATCTATTAATTATTCAGTTAATGTTGCAGATGCGTTGTTCCGTAAGCTTCAAATGGATCCAGCTATTATTTTTGCAGACTGTTAGAGCAATTTTATAAAAGTAGCTTGAACTTCGATTATGTCAAATAGAATTTCCGATTTATATTTACTAATATGTAACGGATCTACAAAGCGAAAGTAATGTTTCGAGTCCATTAAACAAAAAGTGGAATTGCTGCAAAAAATGGATAAAGGCATAGCCTTTGTTTATCTAAACTTTAACGTTTGTTTATCTAAACTTTGTTTATCTTTAACCCCGGTGCGCAATGAATTGGAAGTTGATCTGTCACCACTATCCTTATCTTCAGGGCAGATGTTTTTATTTTATTTGGCTTATAATTGCTTACTAAATTTAGTATTTCATTTCGATGTACTCCGTCTTTGATATGATTTAAATCAAATGCCTCGTCATTATAATTCGCTTCCGATGGCGAAGAAAGTGACAGACAGAAGTTATTGAAAACGAAAAAAATTCTATTGACAAATTAGCCGGTATGCTCGACACAGCAATTATAGGACTTGAACAGCGGCACTTTGTAACTGAACAAGAAATTATGTCTGTTTATAGAATTAAAGAGAATGTATTATCACATAAATAACGAAGCAACTTAAACAACTTACATTGAAAGAAATGTTTAATAAAGTAAACAAATAAATATTAAGCTTTTTTTTTTTTTTTTTTTTGTAAATTTTGATACACTTTAGATCATAATTGTTCTTTATTTTTTGTAAATTACGGTTTCAAATTTTTAATTTTATAATTTCTGCATGCCATTTTACCAGATACAAAACTGATGATCTATAATCCGGAAAAATCGATAATCCGGAATCTTCGAAGTCCCGATGAGTCCGGATTAACGACTTTTGACTGTATAATGCTTTTACATCCAAACCTGCAATTAATAAGTCATCCACATAAAGAGCCATAATTACTTTTTTACAATTTAGATTTCTGATGAAAATACATGGTTCAGAGTCCAATTGCTTAAAATCTAATTTAATAACAAAATTAAGAAATTTCTGATAACATTATCAAGAAGACTGTTTAAGACCATATAAACTCTTTTTAAGTTTACATTTCTTACCACTCATATCATCATATCCTTTGGGCTGGTCCATGTAGATGGTTTCTTATAACTTAACGTTCAAGAAAGCTGTCTTAACATCTAAAGGAAAAGTTTGTAAACCTTCATTATTGATGATTACCAGAATTAAACGTAAAGAGCACATACTAATTACTGCAGAAAACGTGTCCGTGTAATCTATGCCTTCCTTTTGCATGAAGCCATGAGCAACAAGCCTGGCTTTGTAAGTTTTATCTCGTTTTTTACGTAGAACCCATTTTCAGGAATGGCTCTTTTATTAGGGGGTAAATCTTGTAGATCCCAGATGTTGTTATCTTCCATAGATTTAATTTCCTTGTCCATAGCTGTTTTCAATAGTTCTTGTTCCCATTTTGGTAGATTTACAGTATCTTCAAATGTCAGAAAGTCTTGTTGTGCAAACATCACTTGGTAAATCTCAGGATTAAGATACCTAACTGGTTGTGTCTTTTCTCTTGTAGATTTATTGTTTTCCTCCTTCTTATTTACAGCATTTAATTTGCCATTACCAGTGTTTGAAATTGATTTGTCTTCATTTTTAATGCCATCATTGTCATTTTCATTCAAATCGGAACTATCGGGAATGTGTTTTTGATTTTCTACTTTTTTCTTTTCTTCATCAAATTAAACATTTCTGGAAACAATGGTGCATCTTGTTTCTGGAATCATTAAATGATATCCCATTGTGGAATAACCTACAAATATCATTCTGACAGATTTTTC